GCCGCCCATGAACTGCAACTGCAACTGCAATACCAGGGGAATTTCAGATGCGTTGCCGGCCTTTTACAAAGGAGTAGGCTCTGTTCTTGAAGGTCCCTAAGTCTAAAATCGCTAGTAGTAATAGATTCCACAAGGAAGTTGTGCGAGGAAGGAAACTTCTTTTAAATCGCACAGTGGTGGACCGACAATCATCCAGATGGTGAGGATGGTATCGCGAGTTTAGTCGCGATGTGCTATGTTGAAATTGAGCGGCTGGAATTAGTCCGAACAATTTCTCAGAGCACTCCTGTGGTAAATGCGATGAGATACACAAAAAGATGCAACATGTCTTCGCAGCACCAGTGAATCGAGCCGATCGGAAAGGACTCGGTCGCCGACGATTCGAGCCGCTTTGCGCTGGATGCAGTCAACTGGGAGGAGCTGGCACTGGGGAGTCCCAGCGCAGAGATTGGAACAGTATTCCATGTGAGGCCCAACCTGTGCCTTGTAACTTTGCAGGCGGTGTGCCGGCATGAAATACTGTCCCACTGTGCTGAGCACGCCAAGCTTTTTAGAGGCCAATTTAGCCTTCTCTTCCAAGTAACCACGAAACTACACGTCACTCGATATGTCGACGTCGAGGATTCCGATACTGGCTGAGGCAACAAGGGGAGTGCCTTGAAACTGAGGAGATATACAACAAAGGGGTTTCTTTTTAGCGGTAAACGCGTAAATTTGTGTCTTCTGAGGATTAAACTGGACTAGATTTAGTCGCCTCCAATCCGAGACTTTGTTCAGCAAAGACTCGACTTCAGACAGAAGTTTGTTCCGGTACTAGGCGATGTTTTCCCGAGAAATATTGGTACGACCGGTGTATAGAGCATCATCAGTGCTGTCATCCGCATATCAATGATTGTTACCCGTTTGCAACATATCATTGATAAGCAGAAGAAACAGCGTTGGTGATAGCAGGTGTTTCAGAATCGTGTCAAATCGTAGTCTCTGCTTACCCCTGTGAGTGCATGAGTGTGTTTATATTTTACTTGTTTTGGTTTCGTGCAAAATAATATAAACGATTCTTTACTATTCAATCAATTTTATACACAACTCTGGTTTTAACAAAACTTAATCCACGAAGGAAAACTTCGGGCGTTAACATACGATCGATTTGTGTTTATAAAAACAAGCATATTATGAATCAAAATATTAAACACCCATCATAAATTTAACTGTTCTTAATCATATCACAGAGGAAATTGATTTACAAATTGATTAATTTCTTTAACAAACAAACAAACAAGAAACTTATAAACGAGATAAGATTGTTAAGGCAATACTTAAAATTATAAACTAACACAATCAATACACGAAAAACTTATTATTGCTAATTCACTTCATTTCTATAAAACTATTACTTAAATAATCACACACAAAGGTCAGCGCACAATGAGCAGCAAAATGCTATAGAGCATGCACTAGTAAGTTTTGTTGCAGTCAAGCACACAGAGTGAAAATCCGCCGCGGCCGCAGCTGATTGGCAAGCATCAGGACTACAGCTATAAAACGTTGTATAAACACTCTTTTTGCTCTTGATCAATCAGTTTTTCGTCGTGTATGTCGTAAATATAGCGAAACCATACATTGCGGCAGCGAATGATCACAAGGGGGTAGATACACGCGTATGCTAGATCATGTTCGAACATGTTAGAGCGTTCGAACATAATACTCGAACATACGTCAACTCCATTTAAGTTGCATTTTAGTTCATTATACATTTATCACAAAAAAAATGCTGAAGCATGTTGCTGCTCAGTGTGCATTAAAATAACAAATTTTTTTTCTGAAAAAATAATGCTGATATACACTCTCTTTGACAGTGTTGTGTACTTGAAGGAGTAAGAAAGGGTCAGATTCACAAAAACAAATATATTTCAAAAGTTAAGTATTATATAGGTTGTGTCTCTTATCTTGCCGTCCTTCTTGATCATACACAAACTCTGAGCTAGAGAGAAACTTTAAGAATGGTTGATGTACCAATGTTTATTTCCTACATTATTAAAGAATCAAATGAATCACATTAATCAAGATGATAAAATAAAATCAAAATTATTGGTTGATATATTTTTTACCAGATGAAAAAAAAAATTTGCGTTGGTATACTTTTACAACCTGACGCTTCTGGACTTTTGGTACTATATACTATAGTCCGTACGGATAAAGAATGGTATTATATATGGCAGCTCATTGAGTCCGTACCGTCAACATGCTCAGTAACAATAGGGAAAACCCACTAATAACGTTAATTTGAAATTTTCTTTTAATGGGAAAAGAATTGTATATCCAAGTAGGTAGGTTTAAAATGACATTTATAAATAGCGACCCGCTCTGGCTTCGCCTGGGTAGCATCTATTTAATGTTGTGTTATTTAAACTTAAGATGGGAGAGGGCCCACTTCGCCTACGCCTAGCTACGCCACTGACCGGCGGGTGTGAGTATCGATAGCAACAGTATGCGAGCGAGAGGTGAAAAGAGGCGACACCATTTTCAATCCCATTCTTTAATCGTACGGGTAGTATACTGCTTTATTTTCTGTATTTTCTTTGGACTTCGAAATTTCCATATATACCTATGTTAAGTAATTTAGTTTTAAAATATGTCAAATCCTAACACCACATTGGTGAGACTGACACTTGCCTCTATGATATAAACATATGTTGCACCCAGAGATAATCATTAATTAAATAAAATGGGTGTGTTCCGATATACACTGCGACCACTGCTCAGTGCTCCCACTGGTGAAAAATTCGTTCCGTTATAGACTGCCAGATATTGCCGCAGTACCCTAGGGAAATATATGACATCATAAATCATCGCCGCCATTTTTGTACTGTGAGTACTGGCGCTTTCGAGGTAAGGTGCTCTCAATACTTTGATCACGTGATCACAAAACATAACAGCGCCTAGAGATTTAACAGCTTCAGCTTTTGATTGTTATTATTATTAATATTGTTATTCAAATAAACTATGACATTAAGTTTTAAAAGCAACAACATTCAAATAATAATTATTCTTGTTGAAAAAAACCTGTACATGATATTTTCATTTGAAAACAAGTGTCGAAAAATAGGGATGACAGTATAATGGGCTGCATCCTGTCTTAAACAGTAACCAGTATACATACATACATACATACATACATATAATCACGCCTCTTTCCCGTAGGGGTAGGCAGAGACCACTTCTTTCCACTTGCTACGATCCTTACATACTTGTTTTGCTTCGTCCACTTTCATTATTCCCTTCATACATGCTCTACGGTTTAGGGTACTCTTGACCTGGCCTTTTTTCAAGACGTCCCTGATTTGCTCTAGAAATGTACGCCTAGGTCTACCCCTTCCAACATTTTCATTCACACTCGCCTTATACACTTTTTTCGTCAATCGTTCTTCATTCATTCTCTCGACATGGCCAAACCATCTCTGCATACCTTTCTCAATTTTTGTCACTACATCTTCTTTCAGATCATAACCAGTATAACAAACTAAAAATAAAAAGGAACGGCTTCACAGTATACTGAATTGACGTCACAACTTACAGTAGTCACAGTGCATATCGGTATACACTCATAATTTAAGTTTTATTAATTACCAGCATCTTTAATCATACGTAAAGCAGTCATGAAAATAGTTCCACAAAACAAATATTAATCAATACAAAGGTGTTGCTTAAGTAGAGTTAAGCCTCTGAGTACGATGGTTTGTCTTTATTGAGCAAGATTTTTAATCAATGAGTATATAAGTACTTTGATTTAAATACTACAAGATGTTTCTTCAAAAATAATAAAAAAATTCTTAAAAGAGCAAAAACTAAAACGAAATTTAACACAAAGTGCATACAGACTACAGACTTTAGTTTCATCCTACGAGCACTTAACCCTATAGAGACGACCCGAACCTGTCAACCCGTCAGTGACTATTCACTGATATATTTGGCAACACTTTTGTTTTTCGCTAGATGCGACCAAAAACCAGAACCGAAGAGCCATCTAAAACATAAATTACCTTCAATTTACGGCATCATGTCCTGTTGTGCTGTTAAATTTTGCGTAAAGAACAGTAAAACATGTAGTGTAACAACAAACAATATTATTCTTCATCGGTAAGTCCATTTCTTTATTTTACCAAAATATTTTCAAAATTTTTATTACGATATGCGGGTCAAGTTAAACTGGACAGGTCCGTCACGCGTGCTTCCTCGTTCTATTTTCTGCAAACCTGTATGTCTATCTCTCTCTCGTTATCGTAATTAGCCTCATGACGCCAATGACTAGTGCGGTGCGGTGCATTGATTTTGTATTGTCGATAATTATCCACAAAATGATTGTTGTATTTAGATATCGTTTTTTTTTATATTAGATATATACAACGTGCAGCAACAATAGTGACATTAATTAAACACACATATACGTTTTCCCATTTTCGTATCATGAAGAAACGTCATTATTTAGGGATTTATTTAAAATTTTAGAAAATAGCATCTTAGAGCAACCTGTACTTAAAGAACTGACGCGCAGCGGTCATTTGCCGGGGTCACGGACTCACGGATCATAACATCGCGTCATTGAAATTAAAACGCATAAGCAATACTATTGAAAGAAAGATACATCCCCTTGGCGGCGTGCGAGCGGCGCAGGCGACGCGTGCCCTCCCACACCGCTGCAGGTGCAGGTGATCTCACACCTGAATTGGAAGAAAAGTTGTACCAACATATTCTAGAAATGGAAGCCTGTTTGTACGGTCTAACACCAAAAGATGTGAGATCACTTGCTTTTAAAATAGCTGAAAAAAACAATATTAAACACAGATTTAATAAAACAAAAAAAATGGCCGGGAAGAAGTGGTACTATGCATTTTTAAACCGTCATCGCAGTCTAAGACAACCCAGAGCTACTATCTTTAAATAGAGCTACAGCATTTAACAAACCAACTGTCAAAGACTTTTTTGAAAAGTTAGAAAAAGTGATGGATGAGCACGGTATACATGACCCACGATACAATTATAATGTAGATGAGACAGGCCTCTCAACAGTGCAACGAAAACCAAGAAATATATTGGCCAAAAAAGGAAATCATCAAGTTGGTGCTATTACAAGTGGTGAGCGTGGATTCACTACTACTGCTGTGTGTTGTGCAAGTGCAGCTGGCCATTTTGTACCACCTCTTGTAATTTTTAAACGAAAAAACGCTAAAGACGAACTTCGCGACGGTGCTCCACCTGGTTCAATCTTTGCTTTTAACCCCGACAGTGGCTACATTAATAGTGAAATATTTTTTGTTTGGTTGCAACACTTTGTAGAATGTGTAAAGCCGACCACGGAGCAGAAAGTTTTGCTGTTACTTGATGGACACACTAGTCACACAAAAAATTTGGATGCTATTAAATATGCCAAGGAAAACAATGTTGTGTTACTGTCACTTCCTGCTCACACTTCCAATAAACTGCAGCCCCTAGATACTTCGTTTTTTAGACCGTTGAGTTGCTATTATATAGATGAAACAGAGAAGTGGCTGCGTACAAATCCAGGAAGACGTGTTACAGTATTTCAAATTTCAATGCTTTTCGGTAAAGCCTACGCCCGTGCTGCATCTATTGCAACCGTTGAAAGTGGATTTCGAAGTACGGGCATATATCCTTTTAATAAGGATATTTTCCAGGATTATGAGTTCGTTACTTTACCTGAAGATAACGACAACTTACCGGCTATTGAGAATGAGAACATGATTGTGGATCCTTTGTTTTCAGAGGTTAATGATGTAGATGACAATGGAATACCAAAAGATGTTACCTCGGATGATCCACCATTTTCATGCACCAGTGTTGAATCTACTGATGTAAATACGATGCAAACAATACCGTCTGCTTCCAAAACCCCCGTTATACCAAGCCCTGATTTATCGGATAATTGCAACAATATAAATATTCAACCTGAAACACTAATCATAGCAACAAAAGAAGTAAAACAATGGCAGCCACTTCCAAGCACTAGCTCAGAATTTCTAATTTGTAGTGTAACTCTGACTGCAAAGAAAGTCATGCAAGAATTGAGAGAAGGAAGTCGTAGACCACAATCGGCAATAGAGTTAACTGCTTCCCCATATAAAACACAATTGGAAGAGTCAAAAGCTAAAGCATCCAAAACAAAATCTGATGCTGAAAAGAGAAAGAAAGTTGCTGCATTAAACATGGAGAAAACAGTAAAATCTAATAGAGGTCCAGAAAAACAGATAAAGAAAGACGTGAAGAGAAAGAAAGTGCCAGCTGCGGAGTTAGAAAAATGGTTCTGCAAAATTTGTCTGCATTGTGCTATTGATGACATGATACAATGTTTGTCATGTAAATGTTGGGTCCACGAGGTGTGCTTGCGTTAAAAAAGGGATCAAAAAATATATTTGTCCATCATGTACTGAATAATGGATCTCAAATGTCTGAAATTATTGAATATTAATTTAAGTTTGAATGTTGATTTCTTTTAGATATTGAAATTTTTTAATTAATGTTCGGAGAATTTTTTATATCCCTGAAGATGGGTTTAAGTTTTATGTTATTGATATTAGTACAGAAAAAGTTTAACAAAGTTTTTTTAACAATACTCAAAAATTTAGTTTATCGTTGTTCAGACTAGTATTTTTAGTTTTTAAGAATTTAACACTAAGTACTCTGATATTCCTATATTTTTTCTATGAAGATTTTAGTATGTAGCATTTTAAAAAAGTGATTACATGGTATTAAATATAAGGACCAAGAAGACTGTATTGTGAGCCAATGTTAAAATAATTAATATTAAAATAATGGTTAAAAACTTAACATTTAAAAAAATGTTACATACATGCACGGTATTAAAACCAAGAAGAGTGTTTCATATGCCTATATTGAAAAATGACTTAATTAGTAACATAAATGTTAAAATAATGATTAAAATGTTCATTTCTTTAAATTGTAGTATTATTATTTTGTCACCTTAAACCATGAAATTTCCGAGTTCCCATCAATGGACCGGTCGACTCATTTTCCTAAGTCCAATGATAGCAACAAAGTGGTCTAATGAACGTTCCAGTGGTCCAATCAAAGAAACCTTAACAAAAATCATTTTACCCATTTATTGACTCTATTTACTATTTTAGAATTCTGAAACTTTAGGTATTTACACTGGAATACAAGAGCACTTCAGTAACTAAATCACTTTTATTCCACATTGCATACATTCGTTTTTTTAAGCATTTTAACAAAAGTGGTCCAATCATCGCAACCTTACCCTACATCTCTTGCAATACGGACGTTCTTATTTGCGTTATTAGTGCTTGTGTAATCTTGTGATCGTAATGGCAAATACACATCCGAACTACACAGCAGCTGAATATGCGGACATGATTCTAATTTACGGAGAATGTCGTCAAAATGCCGCCCTTGCGATAAGGACATATCGCGAAAGATATGGCCATTTAAGACAATGCCCTACTCATCCTCGCACTATTGTAGGAGCTCTTCAGCGCATCCGCAAAAACCAGTGGATCCTAGGTCTCAACGCCCTGATCGACCCGCCTACACGACACAATCCAATGCAGTTAACTGAAAATGTGATAAAATATTTCGAAGACCAACCCAAAACTAGCCTCCGCCAGAGCGCGAGGCATTTTCAAGTCCATCACAGAACTATCCATAAGATATTAAAGCGCGAAGAGTGGCACCCATTGAAGTTCAGAAAAATACACACTCTGTTATCGCGTGATAAATTAATAAGAGTGAAATATTGTCAGTGGTTACTGAGTAAAATTAAGGAGGACAGTGACTTTCTTTCCCAAATGTGTTGGACTGACGAAAGCACGTTCACCAGAAACGGCATGTGGAACCAGCACAATTTGCACCATTGGGCACCCAAAAACCAAAATCCGCAAGTTTGGCGGGAGTCAACCCATCAGTAGATTTTCGGTAAATGTTTGAGCACAGAATAAATAATAGTACTAACGTACAGAAGTTGCACTCTTTTGATGTTGATTGCTTACCGACGTTTTAACAGCCTACATAGTTATTATTAATCAGATAAATCGCGCGCGCAAGCTAAATAAAACTTTATCGCTGCGCGCCAGTGTCCGTATTACTTTGCATCTTTTCTCCTTATTACGGCCGGTTCACACATGTCTCCGTTTTACTGTTCCGTTTTATCGTGTACTTTTTTTTTTCGTCGATGACGTATGCAGTTGTATGAGCGAATTCACACATGGCACAGTATTCTTTATACAGTAAAAAATATCGTTCCGTAAAAAAATGACATTCCGTTTTGTCATCGAATACTGGACGACGGAACAGTAAAAATATACGGATACGTAGAATTTTAATTTTATTGTGCGTGGCGGGCGGTGTGTGCAGGGTGTAGGAGGAGGAGTGATGCGACAGGTTTTGTTTGACTCACATTTCCTATTGTACATTCCTAGAGAACACGCGCGCGCATTGTGTGTAATAATTATTATAATCATTGATCAAATATGTCAACCAAGGAGTGGGAAAAGTTAATAGACAAGGAAATGTTAATTAGTTTGGTGGAAGATAGGCCAGTCCTTTGGGACAAGACGCTGGAGAAATACAAAGACAATACTGCAAGTATTGCAGGTTGGCGCGAAATATGCATTATTTTAATGGAAGATTTTGAGGCTATGGTACAAAGACAAGAGTTCGGTAAGTGTCTGTTTTATTATTTAACGACATTCTAAATAGCTTCATCCTGCCATGGAACTGATCCAGCTTCGGACATGAAATAGTTCAATGTAATGAAAAAATATATTGACACGAGGATGACATTTATATTTAAAAATCAAAAATTGGGAAGGAAAAAGTGCAGTTAGTAAAATAAATATAATAAATAAATGAGAAAATCTTTCTTATTCCCATTTCAATCAACCCGTACTGCCTCGTAGTGCCTCGGCCTCGAGCCGAACTATCTTGCGTATATCCTAGGGGGCCTTTTTTATGTTAAAGTTCAACAAATCACTAAAAGTTTATTTTAAACTCGTTTAGTTTAAGCTTTAATTTTTTTCAAAGTTGGCATTTATATTTTACCCGAGTATACTGCTTGAAGGTGTTAGTTCATTTAAAATTGGGTTTTTAGTTGCACAGGAAAATTTAAGTCACAGTCCATATATAGTTACTGGTACTGAAAGCATGTATTAAAAAAAACCAAAAAACTTATCGATATTAATAGAAAGCATAAAATAATTACAACGCACGCCCTAGCGATCGTGTTCGGAATCTCTTCGGAATACTTCGGAGTTCTTCGGAGCAATCACAATCCCCCGCACTGCAGCCAGAATTCGGATGTATTTCTTCTCTATAGGCTTAAGTGCTCGTAGGTTTCACCATAAGAATTGTCTTCTTTCAATTTAAGAATCTCTTTACAAAATCATAACTGATCTTATATATGTGAAATATTGTTAACTATGTCATATGTTTGCTCATGTCACAAATTTTGTGTAATGTACAATGTACAAAAATATCAAATATTATCACAAAAGTACACTTAAATATAACAACATTGTTAATTCAACTGTATTTCCGCTCCAGCTGACCAGTATCCCACGAAAGAATTATAATAGGCTGTTTAGCTAACTTTTGCGACCAATATTAAAAATGTTTAAAAAAATTATTATTATTAATCATCGATAATCTAGCAATACTCAATATTTAACCTATGAACGATTAGTTGATACAACTAATCGAAATAATTCACACTTACCGAACTATCAGTACAATTAACTTCAGATATGTTTTTAAGCATAATATACAAAAATACACAAAACAGTAAAGAGAAACAACGCATATTATTTACAAGTATTAAAAGGAAAATTCATTTTTCTCATAATAAACAAGGGTATAAATAGGTAACAATTTCAAACAAATTAAAATCATTTGTTGTTCACTTGCTATTTTAACGGCTCACACAGACTTCCAACACAAAGATAATCTCTAAGATCTTGCAACTGAAATAAAAATATCACTTTATAATATATAGATGAAAGGTTTACATAAGAATAGTAATAGATTTTTTCATATTACGAGTGTGTAATATTTGCTTCTTGTCAAAACAACATTCCTTATAATCCTGTAGCACTCCAGTATTAAGAAGATATCCGGGTGGTGCTTAGTCTATCAATTTCATCCATCCATTACAGTCTTTAAAAGTTCACTGCTGAATAAAAGCCTTCTCATAGATTGTCATGGCTGCCACGCTTAGTAGGCGCATTGGCAACCACAGTTTTTTGGTTTCGAGTTGTTATTAAGAAGGTGCTGCTGCCCATTTCCTGGTTTGTTTCCCTCTGTCGCCTCTTACGACACCCACGGGATGATATGGGGTAGTGGATATTATCCGCACGGTAACCCAACACACAGTATACACTGCACGGTAATCCTTCTTATATTGTTTTTTTTTAAATCGGTCAAGTGAAGGTTCTTTGTATACTGGACTGATTTTTTACAGGGAAATAAGGAACGATGGTTTCGAGATTTTGTCATAGATATAATTACTCCGAACAGTAGTAGCCTGTCTCGGTTGCCTAGTTCAGTCTTGTTCAGGAACAACACCACAGCAGCAGTTAAAAACTTATTCTTTAAATATTTTGCTGCACAATATCCTCTTAAACATGGACCTATTCCACTAGATTAATAAGAATAATTTGCCATGATTCCACAATTGATATATTAGCGCCACCTTGACGCTAGAATCAAATTTATTTAAGATTTTTTGTGACAAACGACACACAATCCACCTGATGGTAAGTGGATGCTGTGACCCAGGGAATATAAAAAACAAGAGGAAGTAGCAAAACGCATAATTTGAAAGAAATATGTACCGACAATTGTGCACCATTTCAAAAACTTTTTCGTGATTGCCTAGTAAATAAATAGAAGAGAAAGAATTAATGTTAGTTTTTAGAATTAATAAGCAAATTTAGCTTTTTAACGTTAGATGTCACAGTAAACGCACCATAAATTATTATGTCTTAATCCTAAAAGCTTTCAAGATTGACTAAAAAAAATTGCTTCGTAACGCTAGATGTCGCAATAATAAATTTACACTATTATAGGCACAATGTACATAAGCATAACGTTGACTTTGCCCTACCTAAACTGTATTGTTACATGAATCATGTTAGTGATGCAGTTACTCTACCTAAACGTGATCTGATTTATCGATATTCAATATTAAACTATAAGAAAATATATGTATGATAAAATGAGTTAAATAGCAAAATTTATTCGAAATTGCCTTGATGTACTACTTACGGGATATACGTGATGGGACGTAATTAATACCTAAAAATTGCTTTTATGACCTACATAATATTAATTACTTTTATTGACATATTGACCTGAATTTAATCTTTATTTATTATTTTATTATTTTTTACTTTGACATATATTATTGTACTTCAAAAACTATTAATAATAAGTTGTGTTATAATTGAAAATTAGAAATTAATTCTTTTATGAATGGAGTTCGGTTTTAACGCAATTATGAACTAGTTATGTAATCAATATTTCTATGTGAATTTAGGCAACCTGATATTTTGTCAATGTTTAGTAAGGTTTCTATGTAAAAAAGGAAAATTTTCACGTGACTATGGGTACGAACATCACCATTCGAAATTCATTTTTTTTGTACTTCCGTTTTACAGTCACTTAAACAGCGACCCGTTAGCTCGCGACAATTTGAGCCTGCAACTGACAGTCAATTACTCTCTACTATCTCTAATTGTGACACGCTTGCCCTGCCCACTTGTTTTTTATATTCCATGCTGTGACTCATAGACATCTACATCTATCTCGATTAAAAATCAAAACACAGATGTGTTGTCACCCCTGAGGACTAGCGTAGAATGTCTCATTACCAGTAAAAAGGGTCCCCGGTTCTCTACACTCACCGAAGTTGTCGAATTTAGCATTATCAAAGGTCTTACCAACTTCAATCCTCATTGCTTTTACTCAATTCACTACCAGACTCACTGGTAGAAGTGGAACGGATGCTGATGGACGTCTCTTTAAATTGACTGATGAAGTCTAGCAGCTTCTGGAGGTTTCTCTGTGTCTTGATCTGATCGGCGAGCAGTTGTCTTTTTTCTGCATTGTGTTCGTCCAAGTTCTCCTTCAAAGTAGCTGCTCGCGCTTCTAGTTTTCGCAACTCTTCACAGAGCTCTATATTTTTTTCCTGTAAACGTTTTCTCTCAGCTAGTTTATCTGAAAGCAAATGTTAAATAATTAAAAAAAGTTATATGACACAAATATATTTATTGGTGTACAACCGATGTTTCGGCTTCGGTTATCTTCGACCAACTAAGGATCTTCGGCCAAAACTAGTCGCCGGTTTGGACAAAGCCAAACGTTTGATTAAACGGCCAAAAACAAAAGTATTTTTACAAATGAAATCAGCTTTGCGCATATCGTTTTCATAGACACTAACATGCGAGATAATTGTAAATGTTATATTATAATGTAATTATAATTAAATGTATATATAAATATATAATACACCTATTGTTATAGAAACAACATCATCCCTTCAGAAAATAGATTTGCTCAAAAAATGCAAGATCTTTAATAATATGAACAAATCTAAGCTCCGTGCGAAACATCTTGGTATGACTACCTCTGAGGAGACCCCAATATTTGTATCTGAGCAATAAACTGCTAAATCTGCCAGACTCTATTTTATTGCCAGGGATTTAATTAAATCTACGGATTATAAATATTGCTGGACCAATTATGGCAATGTCTACGTTAGAAAGGATGATGTATATCTGAATCCGCCATTATTACATTGACTTCTGAACCCCAAATTCATAAACTGTTCAATGTAAAATGACTAGATTTGGTGTTTATATTGTCATATTGTTTGTATTCTTGGTTTCTGTTATGGTTTTTTATTTTATGGTTTTTTGTACGCTGCGTTGGGAGGCAAACGCGTGTTTTTGAAAATTTATATGAATGCAATAACAGAATAAATTATTTGTACAACATGTTGTCTACACACGGTTTATTAAATGGACAAAATTTTCCTACTCGTGAAAATAGTTGCCTAGATCATATAATTATAAAATTAAATGGATCTAAAGTGTCAGCATTTATAGCAATTATTAACACAACAATTACTGATCATCTAAGTCTATTACTAATCCTATCAAAAAGTAAACATAAATCTATACAGACTAAAACTAAATTAATAATAGATTACGAGAAAGCCTACAATGTTTTGCTTGAAAGAAACTTAGAGAGTCTACTCTTGTGTGAAGACCCTAACTTACTTACTGAACAGCTTACTCAAAAGTTAAAAGAATCAGTGGATGAGACTAAAATTACTAAGTATCTTCCAGAAACTCAGCGAACTATAAAGCCTTGGATCAGTAAAGGTATTTTGCGATGTATAAGGAACAGAAACCAAATTCAGACCCAGATAATAATATTCTAAAAATAACATTTAAAAGATATCGTAATCATTGCAACAATTTGATAAAAAAACTAAAGAGAAAATACGAACGGGAACAACTTACTAATGCTTCTAAAAATTCAAAAAATCTTTGGAAAACTATAAATACTATTACTCAATACAAACCCTCTAAGGCACATAGCAATGAACTCCTTACAATAAAATCATCTCCTAATGAATCAATTAATTTTGTTGGTGAATTTTTTGCTAACATTGGAAAAAAACTAGCTAATGACATCAATACACCTGAAAATCCTATACAAAATACAAGTCCTCATTTGACATCATTCGTTCTTTTTGACACTGATCCACAGGAAGTTGTCCTTACTATTGATAGTCTCAAAACTGATAGTGCTGCTGGTTGGGACAATTAGTAATAAGAGGCTCCAATTACTTTATTATTTAGTATGCCTTGAGAAAGAAATAAATGGATTTTTAATTTCAATTTTAATTTTTTAATTTTAATGCAATTGTTTTTATTTAGTAGAGAGTGCAGCGGCGTATACCTCGGAACATCTGGGCGTGGTGCGCGGGCGGGCAGGCGGCGGGGTCGGGCAGCGGCGAGCGGCAGCCGGCGCAGCGGCCGTCGGCGCCGCAGCCCGTGTGCTGCCACACTGAACACGACGCACACCACACCAGCAGCGACAGCACATCTGTGGACAAGTATCCGTACACCAGTTACTGCCACTGCTGAACATAGGCCTCTCCCATAGATTGCCACATAGAGGGGATTCTGCCACAGTTGCCACGCTAGGCAGGCATGCTGGCAACCGCAGAGTTTTATTATTTTCAATTATTATTAGGAAGATGCTACTTTATGCCTCCTGTTTCATTTACGACATTTACGGGATGACATGGGGTACTTAGTGGATATTTATTACACAGCAATTGTTTTGATGTGTTTTAAGTAATTAATGTCATACTGATATTCTCCAATTTATAAGATTTTAATTCCGAAAAGTTTATAGAAATAATGAATATAAAAATGCGCCTAAAAATTTTAAAGCATTAGTGATAAGCTGCGATTGAGAGCATGATAACAACATTCGTTTCTTTATTGGTGTAGATTATATCTAAATGAATATGTTAAGAATAAATATGTAAACGAATATAAATACTAAAAAGAATCATAATGAAGATAGAAGATAGATTAGAGTCACAAATCTTAAAGGAATGTTATGGCTTTTCCTATAAGTTTGCATATTGCAATGGAAAGCAATGATCTATCTATGGTTAATACCGTATATATTTTTTTCTATGAGGCAGTTAGCATAAGTAATTTATTAATAAGCAAAATATTTTAGACAAAAAATGTGGTTATAATAAGTAAATAATATTTAATTACCATTTCTTCCACATCCATGACATACTTTCTTCGTTGGAGATTGTACTGGTTCCACTGACAGACCGGCTGGCAATGAGGAGGCCCAAGCCGGTTTGTTACTTCCCCAACCTATAATATAATTTTTTTTTTTATAGGATAAGGGTGACTATGAAATTTTGCACAGTGTGCAGTTTGGTCCAACTTGAGTGATAGGATAGTTTTTATCCCGATAAGTGACTTTCAATATTTTTTTCATCCATAATCGTCGGAATGGTCAGAAGTGTCTGACCAGCTCTAGTCATATATATAATTTTTTTTATTATGTATTATTTAATATTATAACGAAATATATCATTCCTCAGACTGTAGGTTTCCTTACGATGTCTTCTTCACCGCCGAGCATGTGGTGGACTAGCATTTTGAATTACAATTAATTATTTCAATGTTACTGGCGATGCACGAACCCACTTAACTTACATTACGCTACTGCTCTCTTAAAATCATTATTTGGTAAAATATCTTTGTATAAACTAAAAACACGATAGAATTATTGTGAAAAAGAGCCGGTATTCACTAACAATATTACCTTTATTTTCTGAGGATGATCCTGATGGTGATCCCTCGCGCGATGATTTATTTTGATTCTGTAATGGATAAAATATAACAAAATCTAAATCTCATATTGATTTCTTATGTTTACGCGAACACTACACGTTCAAATAAAACCAGATTGTAAGAATTTTATCGCGTATATTAAGTTATTTTATATTGTCGACGTTTCGACTACAATACTTTCTTTACAGCACCCATGGTCACGGGGGGATCTGAGGTGTTCGACGTCCCAATGTCTAGTATACCGGAGCAACCTTCAGATTAAAATTGTTAATTTTTGGTCCGATCTACGCAGTATGAACTTATAGTATCTTGAAGTCCTGCTGTTGCATGCTTGGGTTGTGATTTAATTTTATTAATTATAGGATCCCAAGCAGATGGTAGTGCCGTGTAGTGCCGGTCAAGAATATCCACTACCCCATATCTTCTCGTAGGTGTCGTAAAAGGCGACAAAGAGAGGTAGGCAAAAGATGGGCAGCAGCATCTTCCTGATAACAACAAACTTACAATAAAAAAACTGCGGTTGCCAACCCGCTCGCCAAGCGTGGCAACTATGGCAAATACCCCCCTATGAAATGACAGTAACAAAGAAACGGCCCCCAGTCCCCGGCGGCCCCACTATTCCTGGCTACGAATGCAACCATGGTAACGGCGGGGCAGGGAGTACTAAAAATCTCCGGTGGAGGTTCGGTTGCCACCTAAGACGACTCGGTACCTGGCAACATACAACGCACGCACCCTGAGGACTGACGAGAACATCGTGGAGCTGAAAGAAGAGATAGACAAGTTACGCTGGCATATTATAGGATTATCCGAAGTCCGAAGAAAGAGGGAGGACACGGTAATCCTCGAATCCGGCAACTTGCTCTATCACCGGGAGGGCGACCATCTGTCCCAAGGAGGTGTCGGATTTATCGTCCACAAGTCTCTCGTTAACAACGTTGTAAAGATTGAGTGTGGCGACGAGGGTTGCGTACGTTATACTCAGAATCACCAAACGGTATTCGCTGAAGGTCATACACCAACCTCGGCACACCCCGATGAGGAGGTGGAGGAAATGTATGAGGATATCTCTAGAGCCATGCATTCCTTCAAAACCCAATATACGGTGTTAATGGGAGACTTCAATTCAAAACTAGGCACAAGAGAGAACGGTGAGCTGAAAATAGGGAAATTTGGAATAGGGCAACGGAACCCAAGGGGCCAGCAGCTGGCCGACTTCATGGAGAAAGAGGGACTCTTTATGATGAACTCTTTCTTCCAGAAGCGGTCCCACAGGAAGTGGACCTGGTCGAGCCCCGACGGTTCCACAAAAAATGAGATTGACTTCATTATGACGACCAGACGACAACTGTTCAGTGATGTCTCCGTGATCGCGAGGGTGAAAACTGGTAGCGATCACCGAATGGTTAGAGGTACACTGAACCTAAACATTAAGTTGGAGAGGTCTCGTCTAATGAAGTCAACGCTCCGTCCCCCTCGTGCTCTGTTCCAAAGTCCCGAAACCTTTCAGCTTGAGCTACAAAACCGTTTTCAGTGCCTAGAAGACTGCAATGAAGTGGACGATATGAATGACAAGCTCGTGGAAACTGTCCATGCGGTCGGAGCTAAGTTCTGCAAGACCCGCCGCAGAAGAACACAAAAAATCACACTCTCAATCTCATGGTAGTTAGACGGGAGATGAAGCTACATTCGTCAACAGATTTGACAGCATACAGGCAACAGACTGATCTCCAAAAGCATGCGGCGGGACTTACGCAACTTCAATACAGCTTGTATTGAAGAAGCGATCGAACGGAACCAAGGCTCCAGTCTTTGCCAGAGATCTGTCTGCCAGAAAGAGCCAACTGTCGAAGCTGAAGACCGAGTGTGGCAGCATCGTTTCCGGGGCACCTGAGATTTTGAGTCAGATTGAGAGGTTCTATAGGCAGCCGTACACGTCACCGTTGGAGCCACACGCAAGTGTGAGTAACGATCCAAGAGCGAGTCTTATCCGACACTATTTCGAAGATATCCCGGACGTCAGTCTGAGCGAGATTAGAATGGCTCTCCAGCACCTTAAAAACGGTAAGGCCCCAGGCGAGGATGGAATTACAGTGGAGCTTCTGAAAGCGGGTGGAAGACCGGTACTTGAAGTCCTTCAGAAGCTCTTTAATTCCGTTCTCCATGGTGTCATTACACTGGAGGCGTGGAGCAGACGTGCGGTGGTCTTGTTCTTCAAGAAAGGTGACAATGCTCTCTTGAAGAACTACAGATCGATTTCCCTTCTGAGCCGCGTGTACGTGCTGTTTTCGAGAGTCATTACGAATCGTCCCGGGCGCAGACTTGACGACTTCCAGCCTCCCGAAGAAGCCGGTTTCCAAAAGGGCTTTAGCACCATAGACTATAGGACACCCTTCGGGAAATTGTACAGAAGTCCGAAGAGTACAATTTGCCACTATGTCTGGCGTATGTGGACTATGAGAAAGCCTTTGATTCCGTCGAAATTTGGGCGGTGCTGCAGTCCCTTCAACGGTGCCAAGTTGACTGTCGGTATATCGAAGTGCTGAAGTGTTTGTACAGTAGAGCTACGATGGCTAGCCGAGTACAGAACCAGAGTACGAAACCTATCCAATTGCAGAGGTGTAAGACAGGGTGACGTTATATCCCCGAAACTCTTCACCGGTGCATTGGAAGACGTTTTCAAGCTTCTGGACTGGAAAGGATACGGTATTAACATCAATGGCGAGTACATCACTCACCTTCGATTTGCCGACGATATAGTCCTTATGGCAGAATCGCTGGAGGACCTAAGCACCATGCTCAATTACCTCAATAGTGTCTCCCAACGAATAGGTCTTAGTATGAACATGGACAAAACAAAGATCATGTTTAATGTCCATGTCACACCTGTGCCGGTAGTTGTTGGGAGCACTAAGCTCGAAGTTGTTGACGAGTATGAAAATTCAGCTCGCGACTAATGCTGCTCGGGGCAAGCGGAGCATTACAACCAAGGCGACACCTGTCACGCTATCCGTGAATTTTTGCAACATCAGGGGACTTCATTCCAACCTTAACGCTGTCCATTACCATCTAGAGACGGCGAAGCCGACCTTGCTCTTTTTAACCGAGACTCAGGTGTCCTCTCCGGCTGATACTTCATACCTCTCTTACCCGGGGTACCAATTGGAACACTCCTTTGTGCGCCGGGCTGGAGTTTGCGTATACGTCAGAGAGGACATCTGTTTTCGACGCCTCGGCAGTCTTAAAGATACGGACCTGTCAATCCTATGGCTGCGCGTAGACAGCGACGACCATCCCCGCGTCTACGGGTGCCTCTATAGGTCCCATAGCGGTAATGCCGACACAGACCGACTCATCGACCACGTCCAAATGGCTGCAGACTCAGTGCTACAACAGGTCCCATCCACAGAGATCGTGCTACTCGGTGATTTTAACGCCCACCACGCTGAATGGCTTGGTTCTCGTTTAACCAATCATGCGGGTAGATCTGTCTATGACTTTGCTTTGGCATATGGTCTAACACAACTGGTTACTTCGCCTAAGCGGATCCCAGATGTGGAAGACCATGTACCTTCCCTGTTGGACCTTCTGCTGACCTCTCATCCGGACGGATATCAGGTCTCCGTCAATGCCCCTCTGGGCTCTTCGGACCATTGTCTAATCCGGGGTACGGTGCCACTCACGCTCCAATCGCAGTTGCGATCTGCAGCTTGCCGCCGTGTTTGGCACTATAGGTCAGCTGATTGGGACGGGATGCGGTCTTTTTTGGCATCCTACCCTTGGGGGCGGGTTTGCTTCTCGCCGGAAGATCCCAGCGTTGCTGCCGATTCAACACCAGCGCACTTAAAAAGAAGTATAATTCCGCCTCCAGGTCCTTCAAAAGCGTCATTGCCAAGGCAAGGTCTGAGCACATCGGCAGAATTGGTGAGAAGCTAGTTCACCTTCCTTCAGGAACCTGTGCATTCTGGTCTCTCGCCAAGGCTGTCCAAGGGAACTTCTGTCAGCCATCTCTTCCATCTCTGCACAGAGAGGACGACTCACTGGCCCATGCCGCAAAGGAGAAAGCCGATCTGTTGAGCTCTCTTTTTGCGTCCAACTCGACTCTAGATGACGGGGGGAACACATCGCCGACCATCCCCCGATGTGAGTGCTCCATGCCGGATGTGCGATTTACACAGCGCTCGGTTCGCAAAGCACTCTTCTCCCTGAACGTCAGCAAGTCGAGTGGGCCCGAGGGTGAGGCATTGGCCGTTAGTTTGGACATAGCGAAGGCCTTCGATCGGGTCTGGCACAAAGCGCTTCTTTCGAAGCTTCCTTCCCATGGGCTTCCCGAGAAATTGTGCAAACGGATCACCAGTTTCCTTGCTGATCGGAGCATTAAGGTCGTAGTAGACGGTGCATGCTCTGATTTCAAACCTATCAACGCTGGTGTTCCACAAGGCTGCGTGCTATCACCAACGCTGTTTCTCCTGCATATCAATGATATGTTCCAAACTAGTAACATATTCATTGCTATGCAGACGACAGCACTGGTGATGCCTTATATACCGGCCGTGCCAATATTTCTCGGGAAAACGTCACCGAGTACCGGGACAAACTTGTGTCGAGTAGTCGAGTATTTGCTTAACAAAGTCTCGGATTGGGGCCGACTAAATCTAGTCCAGTTCAATCCCCAGAAGACACAAGCTTGCGCGTTTACCGCTAAAAAGAACCCCTTTGTCGTATCTCCTCAGTTTCAAGGCACTCTCCTTGCTGCCTCAGCCAGTATCAGAATCCTTGGCGTCGACATATCGAATAGTGTGCAGTTTCGTGGTCACTTGGAAGGGAAGGACAAATTGGCCTCTAAAAATCTTGGCGTGCTCAGCAGAGCGAGACGGTATTTCACGCCGGCACATCGCTTGCAACTTTACAAAGCGCAAGTTCGGCCCCACATGGAATACTGTTCTCATCTCTGGGCCGGGGCACACCAGTGCCAGCTCCTTCCACTTGACCGCATCCAGCGCAGAGCGGTTCGAATCGTCGACGACCGAGTTCTTTCTGATCGGCTCGATACACTGGCTTTGCGTAGAGATGTTGCATCTCTTTGCGTATTTTATCGCATCTATCACGGGCAGTGCTCTGAGGAATTGTTCGGATTAATTCCAGCCGCTCTATTTCACCATCGCACATTGCGACAGAACTCGCGTTACCATCCATACCATCTGGATGATTGGCTGTCCACCACTGTGCGATTTAGAAGAAGTTTTCTCCTTCGCACAACTTCCTTGTTGAATCAATTACCACCAGCAAACTTTCCGGACCGATACGACTTAGGAACCTTCAAGAAAAGAGCTTTCTAAAAGGCCGGCAACGCATCTGCAATTCCCCTGGTGTTGCGGTTGTTCATGGGCGGCGGTAGTAACTTACCATCAGGTGAGCCGCATGCTCGTTTGCCCCCTATTCTATAAAAAAAACCGGCAAACGATGGGGAAGAAAGGTTCTCGAGTGGCAGCCTCGTACCGGTAGGCGAAGTGTAGGGCGACCCCCACGAGATGGAGTGACGACCTGGTAAGACATGCAGGAAGTCGATGGATGCAGGTGGCTCAGGACCGTGCTTTGTGGCATTCCTTGGGGGAGGCCTATGTTCAGCAGTGGACTTATGAAAGGCTGTAATGATGATGATGAAGCAGATGGTAGGACCTAACCATCTTCTTTATTGAAACAAGTGAGATGCGGGAAGTAAAGACTGTGTAAGAACCTCCCAAGGAGGTTATAGCCGAAAGAAGGCTTTTTAATTTTTTGGTTTTTGGTCATTTTGACCCCCCCAGGAGTGTAATGCGAACTTTTTGCTCCTATTCAACCATGACCCCCATGACATTCCTTTACATAATAGGCTATTCAAACTGACTAGGCCTAAAGTTCGAGTCACCCCCCAACTCATTTAACTAGTCTTTACTTCCAATTATGATGTTTTTGATTTCAATAGCATCGTAGATCATCCTTGGAAGGAATAGGTGTTTTTAGCGAGGTATTGTGGTCTCACATCAAACCCGTCATTACATCAAACGTGATGTAGTGACAGGGGCGATCTTGTACGTGTTCACAGACTGCAGACATTAGACGCTCTTATGAGTTACAATAGATGGCGGTTTAACTACCTCGTTTAAGCGACAAATAAAATATTTAAAATGGTCCCTGGCCTGTAAAAACATGTTCTAGGTAATTTATCATAACATATAGTATAAAATAAAAGCAGCAAGTTTTTATCAGCATCAAAACTGCGTGACGTCTGGTACCGCGATCGCCAAATAGCGTGACAATTAAAGCAAATTCTCCTTAAAACTGGATATGCCCATATCTATCAATGGGCTTTCATGGACTATAGAAGAAGCTAGTCGTCTTTGAATACGCTACATGCCATCCATTCGTCCATTACAACCTATAAAAGCCCACTGTTGAACATAGGCATTTCCCATATATTAGGGGATTTAGCCAGATTTAGCCACTTGGCAGGTGGGCCAACCACAGTTTTTTTTTAATTATTTTGAGTTGTTATTGGGAAGATGCTACTGCCCATCTCATTTTTCAGTTACGCTCTGTCGCAAGTTACGATATGGGATAGTGGATATTCTTACACCAACAAAGCACGGTTGTATGACGTCAGCATAAAATAACCGTAGCGCACATGAAAAAATCATGTCAAATATCTAATAAAGCTAATTTATTGTGTCGCCAGTTAAAATAGCAGCATAATGTTCCAGTGTCATGTTTGGTGAGTGGTGAGAACGGGAAACACTTTACTGGTAATAATACATTCCATACAACTCTTCAGGGGTGACAACTGACAATGCATATGCAATTTCATTCTTGGAAACTGCGTTTAACAATTTAACTGGTTTGTACGGAAATCGTGTCCATTTTGCTCGCAAACGTTGAAATTTAAAGACGAGCGCTTATTCTGCGTACTACCGTCGCAAAACCAGATTTTTTTTTAATTTTCTATTGAATTATTCATAATACACAAATAATGAATTACCTGTTGTTTTCTTAACTTTGCAGAACGTGTTTGAGGAGGATCACTGTGTGACTGTAGATATGGATACTGGTTATACTTTTTACGTTTCTGAAAAATTAGTAACACATTTATCAATTTATACTAAATTAACAATGAAAAAACTGTATAAAAGCTGTGCTATAAATATATGATGAAACTTTATCAAGAATCGTTTTCAGGGAAAAATCATCAAGTAATACTTGCTGCTAATCTTTTTAAAGATAAAAATCGCCATTGAGTGACTTTGTATGACAAAAGACATAGTTCCACTTAGGCCCGACAGGGTTCACTGTTCACATTTCCACACAAAGAGCAATGGCAGAAAAATAGTTGACAAAAATTATAGCGTCTAGAAATAAGTTATATATAAAATGAGTTTTATTATTTTTCTATGATTTTTCAAATAAAAATGTATTATAATCAAAGCCACAGAAAAAAACAAACATTTTTGGGAATATCAAATGACTGAAATCATTTTACTCTATTCAAATGTTGCCATTTAGTATATTCCTACTATTTTCGTATACACTTTGTAACACTACCAACACAACACACAAAATATTTTTTTTTAACTTAACTACTTTAACTGTACTATCGGTAATAACAAAAATAAAAGTAATATGGCTGAGAATAAGTCTCTTACAAACTCCTACGGTAATACATTATCTCAATCATAGTACTATGTAACAATTCCATTTAATGTTATGCCAACACTAGCTAAAATAAAATGTCACTGTTTTTTTTACTGGATTTACGGCTCTGGGTTCTAGCCCTTCTGAGAATGTCACTATGGTACAAAAGCCCTGGAGCCATGCCAGAAATATACATTTATAGTATGCAAATATATAATAGAGATACAATAATCTAAAAACTTTCATTTATGTATTATGTATTAAGCTAACATCAAACAACCACAGGAAGCATGACTTTTTCCAAGCGACATAGGACATAACCTAAAAAGGTTCAAATGCAAATATCTTTTTTTTTGACGCCTTCTCAGTACAAAATTCTTTGACAAAGTTATTAAGGGACTGACGCTTAACATTTTAAGATATTTTTGGTATATAGACGCTACCATTTCTTCTCAACTAATTTTATGTATGAAAGTCTGCCATTGCTCTTTTAGTACTAAAAACATGTGCTACAGGCACTGGTATAAAGATAAGTACAGAATGTATCAAAGTGCAACTTAACTCATTCGCTGTCCTGTGTACTACATATTATAAGTTCATTGCTAAGTGTAATAATCCATGGAGTGTTAAAATTATTATTTTTTTATTCATAAGACCTTCCATTACAAATATTGGGGAAGATTTGAAGTAATATGCCAATAAGTAATATAATAGTACTTGGTGAGTGGATTGTCGAACGCAGTGCTAGGCGTCTCGCACTTAAGATGCTGCTCCATAGTCATTCTGAACATTTCACGTCCTACTACTGCTTTCTTATACTATTCTAAGCCTGCGTTTTACTACTATCCCTTGGTAAATGGTGATGCAGCCGAAGATGGTAATGCAGACTGATTTAACAAAAGCTTATTCACTCTTGCCTTTAAGTCACCCACATTGTAATCGGATAGAAAGACATATGTATGCTGGCAATTTATTCCACTTCTTTGCTGTACGCATGACAAATGATGAAGCAAACCATTTATTTTGAATGCGTGGTAAGTCTACAGCGAAAGGGTGGACACTAGCCGAACGTCTGGTTGTCCGATGGTGAAAGGGAGAGGGACGATCCATATACAAGAAGGCCATGGAATCTTTTTGGCTTTAACAGTTCTAAGAAGCAACCTCAAAACTCATGGGATAAAATGGCATGATAATTATTTTACATAACTGGCAAACAGTACTATTATATAATATATAAGCTAACGACGCACCCCAGCTTCGCCTTCGTAGGATCTATTAATGTGGCGTTATTTAAATTTAAAATAATTATCAAAGAACATTTTCACACAATTTCAATACTCAATAACGTTATTGCATTACAAAAGGTGTTACATAGTTTTATGCTATCTCTATGGGCCCTGATGGACAACAATATTATGAAGGAGGAACATTTATTTTGTTTTATTATTATTATTATTGTTAAGTAATTATTTAATATTAACATTTATTATATTATTTATTAATGAATTGATTTTGACATTTAAAGTATTATAATAATTAGTTGAATTTTTATTAAATTATTTGAATAATTTTAAATTTTATTAGAATTTTTTATTGTAATTTATTTAGTAGGATGGCATTTCATTATTACCTGACATATTTATATTTACATATCTATATTATATTATATTATAATATTATCTTCTAAAAATTCAGAACTACTATAGTTACACTTGTTTATAAGTAGTTGCTTAAATTTTTTTTATGAATGGTTTTTCGTCTTTAATTTTTTTTGTTATATATATTCGGGTAATTTATTATATACTTTTATAAACATGACGAATGGGCTGGAAGAATGAGATTTTAGTTTTGAAGTTGGCAGCACTAGTTTGTTTCTCTGTCTTAGATTCCTAGATAATATGATATCATCTCGTTTTGTGTAGAAGCTTGGATTTTTTTTGTCAAATTTGCATAGTTCTAAAATGTAGATATAGGGCAGGCTTTAAATGTTATACATCTTAAAGTAAGGCTTACAGCTGTTTTGTATATTAGCTATGATTCGTATTAGTTTTTTTGTTTAGTTAACAAACTTGAGGCATCAGTACTGCCTCCCTGTAGCGTAGTAGGTTGTTATCGCGGTGGTTATATCTGTTGTTTTTTTTTTTACTTCTCGTAATGCGTACATAAAGCTGCTTAACTTTCTATGTAATTTTTCTATGTGTGGTTTCCAAGTAATGTGGGTATCTATTATTAGAACTAGTAGTGTGTGCTAGTTTAACTGTATCTATAATGAAGCCGTCATTATCTATTTTTATATCTAATTTTGGTTATTGATAAGTTTATCTGCAGGTTATGTTTAGTTCAGTAATTTCAAAAATGGTGGTTATTCATGTCTTACCGTTACAGCCTATGAAAGTCCACTGTTGAAAATAGAGGGATGGGAGATGGGAGACCATAGATTGCTTCATAGAGGGGGATATTTGCAATAATTGCCAAACTTGGCAAGCGGAAGCTTCTTATTCTTATTCGTTATTATGAAGACGCAGCATCCCATCTCCTGATTTGTTTCACTCTGTCGCCTTCTACGACACCCACGGAATAATGTGGAGTAGTGGATATTTTTACACTCCTACACGGTAATGATATTCATGTCTTAATGCCATGCAAATGACCCCCTGAGCTCAATAAAAGCCGGTTATTTTGTTACTACGGACAGCTGAATTTTATTTATATGTATACAATAGATTATTTTACTCTTTAATTTATGTTTAAATCTTATTATTTACAGAAAAACAAATACTTACTGACGCCATATCAAAATTCCCATACAGAAAATCATTCCTATTTGTACTAGTAGTAGCTCTTTTACGGCGCTCATTCCTCTTCTTTTCTAATAGTTCTTTTTGAGAAGGGGTTACCAAGCCTATTAACCTGTAAATAAAATAGGAAAAAACTTTGTACAAAATTGGTCAGCAATTGCAACAAATCTACAATATCTTGTGTATATATGTACCAATGCAAATGACAATACATTCTAGGCAGATAAAATATTATCGTTGCAGTGGCGTAGCATGGGTTAGGTACTACCACTCAAGCCAAAACTACCGTCGACTTAACACACCCCTCATTTTTACAATATCTTAAAAAAACAAAATCAGTAAGACTTCTGTAGACTTTGTATATTATTTAAGACTAATGAAACAAAACAAATATCAAGTACTACTTTCTGCTCCATATTCCAATTTTCACTGTTCAGTGATGTCTCAGTGATCGCGAGGGTGAAAACCGGCAGCGATCACCGAATGGTTAGAGGCACACTGAACCTAAACGTTAAGTTGGAGAGGTCATGTCTAATGAAGTCAACGCTCCGTCCCCCTCGTGCTCTAATCCAAAGTCCCGAACCCTTTCAGCTCGAGCTACGAAACCGTGTTCAGCCTCCCGAACAAGCCGGTTTCCGAAAAGGCTTTAGCACCTTAGACTGCATTTTTTTTATAGGATCGGGTGACAAATGAGCACACAGTCCACCTGATGGTAAGTGGTTACTGTGACCCATAGACATCTACATCTATCCTCAATAAAGACTCAAGATGCAGATGCGTTGTCACCCGTGAGGACTAACATGGAATGCCTCTTTGCCAGTAAAAAGGGTCTCCGGTTCTCTACACTCACCATACGAAACACAGCAGCGTTAAGCTGCTATTTTACGCTGGTTTTCTGTGAGAGCGTGGTCCTTCCCCGTTCGAGCCGACCCATTCGTGCTACAACCATAATATAGCTGCAGCATGGCTCTACCACGTAGAATATACTATACTATATCTACTACATACATACCCTTCGGCAAATTGTACAGAAGTCTGAGGAGTACAATTTGCCACTATGTCTGGCGTATATGGACTATGAGAAATTTGATTCCGTTGAAATTTGGGCGGTGCTGCAGTTCCTTCAGCGGTGCCAAGTTGACGGTCGGTATATCGAAGTCCTGAAGTGTTTGTACAGTAGGACTACGATGCCTATCCGAGTACAGAACCAGAGTACGAAACCTATCCAACTGCAGAGAGGTGTAAGACAGGGTGACGTTATATCCCCGAAGTTCTTCACCGCTGCATTGGAAGACGTTTTCAAGCTTCTGAATTGGAAAGGATACGGTATTAACATCAATGGCGAGTACATCACTCACCTTCGATTTGCCGACGATATAGTCCTTATGGCAGAATCGCTGGAGGACCTAAGCACCATGCTCAATGACCTCAATAGTGTCTCCCAACGATTAGGTCTTAAGATGAACATGGACGAAACAAAGATCATGTATAACGTCCATGTCACACCTTTGGCGATAGTTGTTGGGAGCACTAAGCTCGAAGTTGTTGACGAATATGTTTACCTGGGACAAATAAACCGACTAGGTAAGTACAACTTTGACCGAGACGTCAATTGACGGATTCAACTCGGCTGGGCAGCGTTCGGGAAATTACGCCACATCTTCTCGTCAGGTATACCTCAAAACTTGAAAACGAGGCTGTACAGCCAGTGCGTGTTGCCTGTGATGACCTATGGAACTGAGACGTGGTCCTTCACTGCTGGCCGGATGAGGAAGCTCAAGGTCGCTCAGCGAGCTATGGAGAGGGCTATGCTCGGGGTTTCTCTGCGTGATAAACTTAGAAATGAGGATATCCACAGTAGAACCAGAGTAACCGACATAACTCAACGGATTAGTAAGCTGGAGTGGCAGTGGGCCGGCCATATAGCTCGAAGAACCGACAACCGATGGGGAAAATAGGTTCTCGAGTGGCGGCCTCGTACCGGCGGACGAAGTGTAGGGCGTCCCTTCACTAGATGGAGTGTCGACCTGGTAAGATATGCAGGAAGTCGATGGATGCAGGTGGCTCAGGACCGTGCTTTGTGGCATTCCTTGCGGGAGGCCTATATTCAGCAGTGGACTTGTGACGGGCTGTAATGATGATGATGATGATGATGATTGTGTTGGCGTTTTGTAATGTCAGAGCACATTCGAAAACGCCAACACAAGCCAGCTATGCTTAGCCATGTGGATTGATTTAAATAAATAAATTAATAATGAACATACTAAGTCCATATTATACATTAATTATTAATTACTAATGTCCGATCGAAACAGGATTTTCAACCGAAACCGAAAACGAACCTTCGGTCTGGGTGTCACTTTCGGCCGAAACCGAAACCGAAACTTATATAAACATGTTAATTTTTTATTGTATACTGAAATCTGGTATATTTTTATACAAATACAGATAGGTAATGCATGTTAATGAAAACCAGTTATTGCAATAGTCATGCAGCAATATATTTAATATATTAATTAATTCCACGTCTGACGTCGCCAAATAGTTGATTGTGTCCTTCGAGGCGTTGTCGTGGTGAAGGAGAATTCTACTGCGAGGTTGTTTCTCCAGAACTTTTTCCAACACAAGTGGCAAACAATTGTCAGTGTACCACTCCGCAGTAACTGTTTTTCGATCCTCTAAAACAATTGGTGCATAATGACCTGTCCTTCCGGAGAACGAGGCCACTATCTTTTTTCCGACGCTTCGGCCTCTCTTCACTTTAGTTAACAGCTCCTCGGAAGGAAACACTCAGACAGCAGACTGTCTCTTAGTTTCAGGATCAAAATAATAAATCCAGCTTTCGTCACACGTAAGTATGTCGAACACAGCATTTGAGTCACCTCCGTTAAATCTTTGAAGCATTTCAAGACACCAATCAACACGACGGAGTTTTTGGGCCTCTGTCAAATTATGAGGTATCCACCGGGCACAAATCTGCCTGACCGCTAATTATAATATTTCATGGAGGATTTTGTGCACTTGACTCATACCGATGCTGAAGCTTGTTCGAATCTGCTCTGAATGTGACATATCACTCTTTTATCAGTCTCTATTACACGCCGCACAATACTGATGTTATCTTCAGTCGTCGCCGTAGAAAGCCGTCCCTCACGCAGATCATCGGTGTGATTAGTGCGACCACTTTTAAACTTATATTAAACTAGTTGTAAACAGTGGCATGAGTGGCTTCATCGTGAAAGGCCAATCGAAGTCTATCATAACTTTCTTGGTGATTTAAATGATATTGAAATTCATAAAAAATCATTGTACGAAAATTTTCTCGCGTTATATACATGCTGAGGTGACACAGACAATTTTCAAATTGCCACCAAATCTCGTAAACAAATGACAAATTTTTTTGCCGAAACTTGCCGAAACCGAAACTTTGGTCGGTCACTATTAATTAATGTAATATTTAATTGAAATGCCACAGTGATTTTGACGAATGCCGAATACCAAATATCCAGCCACTCTCTTGGCCGAAGCGGCAACAGTTTCTGGAATTATTTTTTGGAAGTTGCAACAGAAAATATGGAGAAAGAGAAAGATGTAAATGTGGAAAAAAAGAGCTATTGCAGATGAGATTGAGATTTTACCCAAAAACAGCTCTCCTAGATCGGACAGCAGACCCTCTTACAAGTGGTGGACAGCAAATGTACAACAGTATAGGAAACTAACAGAATTTGCAAAAAATATCTATAATCACCCAGTAGCAGTGTATACAGTGGTAGGCTATTTTTAGTAGTGGTTCAGGAGAAAAAGCACAATCAATTGTTATCAACAAATGCTGAAAAAACTATTTTCATTTTTCACAACTTACCTCTGATAAATTTTAAGTATTAACTATAATGTTTTGTTGGTAAAATATGTTTATTTTCGATTAATATGTGTGACTTTTTTTTTCATTTGTTAATATTCGATATTCGGCCAAATACTGAATATTAACAAAATGGCCGAATAGGCCGAATACCAAATAGAAACTGAATATTCATGGCATCTCTAATATATAGGGAAATAAGCTGAAACTCGAATACAAAACTTATTTAGAAATTGTAAGCTATCAATTTGGTTTCTGAACAATATAAATTAAGAAATCCAATTCAAAAGTCTAAGTTTACCTAAAGTAAATATATCAGCTTAATGAAAAATAAAGTAACTACTTCTGCCATCCCTAAAGAGTGTGCAAAGTGCCAGAGAAAGCATTTCCGTGTTGTTTCTAGTTTCAAATAATGCACAGCAAAGTGTGGCCACAATAAAATACCCAAACCCCTAGCAATAACATACCTCATAAAAATTTCTTTAGGCACAGGTTCTCCAGGTTCTGGTAAAGGTGGAGGTGATGGGGTAGGTGATGGTTCAATACCTTGTGATGAATCAGAATCTGATCGGTGATCCTGCCATTCTTCTCTATTGTTATCTTTTGTTCCACTGTAACCACATAAAAAACATATTTTAAATATTTGAATGACTAAAAATTAGTTAACTGTGATTTAAAGGCAAATATATCATGAATTAAATTTTTTGTATTTTAATAAAAATTTATTCAAATTAGTAATTCATTTATTTACAATTAATACTTACCTTAGTGATTCTTTAACCTTGTTAAAAGCATTAGCAAAATTATTTCTACTATCATGCACATCATTTGACAATTGAGAAAAGTTACTTTGATATTTATATTTATCATCATTATCACTTTTGTTTGCATTTTCTTTTTCATTAGTCAATTTTAATTCATTTTCTGAGTCAAAAGTGTTATGTATGTTTTCATTATTTTCAGTTTTTACATAGATTTCATTAAGTACAGATGGCTTTAATAATGACACGAATCTATTTCTTTTTCTATACTGTATCTGGTGATCCCTCAACTGCTGGGCTACATAACGGGTCTCATTTTCAATACTGACTTGCTTATTTCTTGCTTTGAGGCGTTGTTGATACAATTCTAATTCTCTGCGCAATCTATCAACTACTTGCTTCTGAAAGATAAATGTTTAATAAATTTAAGAAATATTATAACTGAAAACTTATAAAACATTTTAAAATTAACATTTGAAAATAATAATAAAATATTTTACATTTTAATAACACTAAAAATTGGACTGTTACATTAACCTTGTCCCTCAGGAATCTATTTTTAAAGGTATGCTTACTTGATTTTGTCCAATTGCAATTATTTCATTTTCTGCTTCCTTAACTTTTGATTTCAGGTGAATATTCTAAAAAAAATATTTTAAATTAACAATTAAGGAATAGTGCGTTTTTTTAAATTAAGTTAGAAAAGAGAAATTAGAAATTAAAAAAGTAATGATAAAAATTACGTACATTTTCGTCTTCTTGAAGACGCGCAACCCAAATCTGCAAGTTAAAAAAATGTTTCGTAGTCGTTACAACAGGTGCTTATCATAATATACAAAACAGGGTTTATAATATTAAAGCAAAAACATACTCAACATTAAGAATTTAGAACAAACACTCACTTGATGAACTCTAATTGCATTTTTTAAGTCTGACTGAGTTTTGCGAATATCTTCCTTAATTTCATTAGACACTTCCATTCTCACAAAGAAATATATTACTAAGACCTTAATATCTAGCTAATTTAACTGTCACACCGTTCCTCAAATATTTAAAATAATATAATATGAAAATCATTCATATTTTCATTAAAAACTCCACAAAAAAACAACTTGTTTCTCATCTCACAATCACAAACAGTATAACAATTTCCGGTTTGTAAAACTAAAAATTACTCTGTGGTAATATTATAGGTAAAATCAGTCGCTTAACTTCAAACGAAGGTAACTCCATCATATGCAATATTTGACATTTTGGTATGAAATGAAAGCTCAAATAAAATACGTTATATTCATTTTAACAAGCAATGATAAATCCAATCATATTTGAAAAGAAATGATAAACAAATCATGCATTTTTAACAAACAAAGACAAATCCGACTAGCCGTTTTTATCTAGGGAAGGCAAATCCTTCTTAACCAATCAGCGCAGTGCATTCATTCAATATGGCTGTCAGTGGTCGCTACACCATCAAAGGTTAGTTGGCGGTTCTTCGATACCTTATTTATTTAACTGGGTAAAAGTCAATAAAAATGGATAATTCGGTGAAAATTGTATCCCCAAGTAAAGCTCGAAAACGATCTAACATAAAAATGAAACAAAAACAACAGGACAAAGCAAAACAACTGTAAGTAATTTTATTTTCTTTGACAGGTTATGACAAGACTATCACGACTTTAGGGTTGTACGTAACATTCACTGTGATTATTAATATTTATATATAAAAATTGTTACAGAGATGTGGATGAAATATTTTTCTACTTTATAATGATGATCAATCATGTTTATGGTAATTAGAAAATTTCAAATCTAATATTATTTTTATATCTGCATTTTACGCTAGTTTATTCTGCACAAATTTTTATTATCTACTAACTGCCCTATATAGTTTTATTTTGCATGTTGTTTACAATTATGTCTCTTGTCTATCGATATTTCAATTTACATAAAAATCAGCATCATCATCAGCTTTTGGATATAGGCATTATAATATTTAGTATAAAATCAAATATAGAGATATAGTTTGGCATTAGATTTTATGCTAAATGTTGCTTTCTAAAGTTAAAAGTGTTTATAAATGCTATGTATATTTACATGGTTGTTTCGCTTTGGTAACCGTGTGACTAAAATCATTACGGCATCATCATTGGGGCTCTGTCAACTGTATTTCAAAATAATAGCATTGTGAATGCAAAACTTACAAAAAAATAATGAAAATCATTGTTTTCGTACATATTTTTGTTATTTAAAACTTACTTATTTTAGGTATTCTAATAACCAGCCACCGAAAAAGCCGACATGTGGACACAAAAGTAAAGCTTACCAATGTGCAACGCTCAATTCAAACGATGTTCTTTTATTCCATCGTTCATTTTATAGATCAGATAAAAAAATTGAGCAGGACAATTTTATTTTAAAATATGTAAGATCCACAAAAATACAAAGGCGACGCCCCGTAACTGGAAGCAAACCAGGAAGAAAAATGTGCACTAAGTACTTCATTCGCAAAAATAACACCCAAAAAAGCCTTTTTAGGCATATTAAATTTAAAGAAAGGCAGAGTTGAGGGTGTTTTACGTCGTCATTTTCAAACTGGTACTATGGCAGTTGAAAATCGAGGTGGTGATAAAAAGTCATTCGACTTTCGTGCTCGTAGAGAGGCTGTTGTTAAGTACATTAAGACCTTGCAACCTTTGGAAAACCACTATGCACGCGAAAAAGTTAGAGAGCGTCAATACCTACACCCAGAGCTAAGTATTAAAAAAATATGGAAAATGTACATGGATCAAGCAGTGCCGGGGTTTGGAGTTAGTTTCAGTTTCTTTCGCAATATTTTTGTTACAAAATTCAATATTGGATTTGGCAGTCCCAGACAAGACGTATGTTCAACGTGTCTACAGTTATCCGAAAGAATAAAGGTAGAAAACAACGCATCGGAAAAAGTTAAACTTATGACAGAACTTCGCATACACACGCTTCGCGCGAAAGCTTTTTTTAAACTTCTTCAAAAAGAAGAAGACCATGAGATCCTCCTTTCTTTTGACTGCCAAAAAAATTTACCATTACCTAAGATACCCGATCAATCCACTTACTATTCTCGGCAGTTGTATTTTTATAATTGCACTATTGTAAGAGGTTCTTCACGTAATCCTCTTTGCAAAGATAACGTTTTTGCGTACACCTGGACTGAAGAAACTGCTCATAAAGGCTCTAACGAGGTTTGTTCAGCTGTTATTCATTGTTTAAATAATCTGGATTTAACTAATGTTATATCTATACGGTTAATGGCTGACGGGTGTGGGGGCCAAAATAAAAATTCTATTTTATTAGGAACCATCATGCATTGGCTGCATTCGTCCACAAATGCAATAAAACACGTAGAAATAATTTTCCCAGTAACGGGACACTCATTTCTTCCATCAGACAGGGTATTTGCTCTAACAGAAAAGCAAATAAGGAAGAAGGAAACAATTCTTAAGCCTCAAGAGTACATTGATATCGTAGAAGAACATGCAACTGTCTATCGTTTAGGGATAGAAGTACCCATTCTCGATTATAAAACTCAGTGTAGAAATATATTGAAGTCGACTCAAAGTTTGCATTTTCAGATTTCCAAATGCAAAAGGTTTATTATCACTACTGAAAGAAACCAAGTAAAAATCAGGGGTGAAATCTCTTATTACTCTGATACGGGAGTGAACAAGTCAATTACGAAACGTGGTCAAAGCTTTGTAATATTCAACCCAGATACAGTCGCAATTGGTGTTCCAGTTCAAGAGGCCAAGTTGGTTGATGTCCGTAAATTACTCGAAACACATTTTGGGAAAAAATGGCCGCTATTACAGGAACTAGAATATTATAAAAAAGTGCTTAACAGTAGAAATGTTGTTGGTCGTCCTTCGGAAGTGTCTGAGGATGAAGATGATACCGAAGAAGTATTGAATTTTGTCTAAGTAAAATTCATCTTTTCTTGTTTTTTTTTTTAAATAATAGTAGTACTTAAAATTTGTTAGAGAAGGATAAATAAACTGTTTGATTTGTACTGTTGGTTTAATTTATTTCAGCAGACCTCATATTTATAAAATCATAAGTTGTTTTAGTGACAACCCTCGTACGTAAGTATCGAAGAGTAGTTTTTATCAAATCTTGGTAAGTCCAGTTAAATTTTATCATATATAAGTAAATCCATGCCTTTTTATTTCAATAACAGGTAAATCCGGTCATGTTACATCAAACGTAGATAAATCCAAACTAAAAACGCATTTTTATACTTTATACGACGTATTAATATTATTTTTAATGTTTAATTTGACTATTTACTGCCCATCATCTACGATAGAACATTATTTTCATTATGAAACCATGTATTTTGGACAGAATCTAATTTTTTGAAATAACTCAGAATCACTTTCAGTGGATTTATCTTTGTTTGAAGTTAAGCGACACAAATGTAAAATGAAAAGGAAAAAAAGGAACTTGCTCGTGAAATACTTCACGGAAATGCCAATTTCTATACTTTTTTCTCAAGAATGAAAAAATATCGTCGATAATAGCTAAATAATAATTAAATAAATTTATTTTCTATTTCTTTCAAGTATATTTATTAGCCTTTTAATTTAAATTCATTATCGATAAAAATACGTAAGTATATATATATTTTTTATACTACGTAACATTAAGGGTGGGTTGCACCAAAGTAATAGTTATTAATTATTATAAGTTAATATTAGGCAATTTATGGAGATGACTACGTTATACTTATAGTCAAAATCAAAATCTTGATAACTTCAAGTTGGAATCTGTCGTAAGATGAAATCTTACGACAGATTCCACATATACGACATACTAATTTGGATCTTCATGTTACTGAATTAAGACATTATTTATTTTAACGTAAAAATATTGTGACGTTGGGACGGCGCGCTACTACTAGACGTGGGCGTTATTTCACGTCACTAGTTACAATAACTGGCTACGCGGCATGTAACCGAATCACTAGTTTCGAGTCATATTACAAGTAGTGATTTTTGTAAATGCGTTATTACTGTTAACTGTGATTGTTGCGAGAGTCGACTGTCGGTCGGTCAAGCGCAAAGCGCACATGTGGCATACAACAATAAACAAAACAGCGTATGTAACAGTATTATTGTACGTTTAATTTTCATACGTAAGACTATAGATATAGACAATATAAATAGAGTGATCTTTGTTTGTAAATAATTTCAACGGTTTGCAATTCCGGGAAGCGAAGTATTAAGTAAAATAATTTAGTTTGTTTTAGTTCATCGTTGTACTTGTTTATAATTTTGAATACTATCTTGTAAAAATTTACATTTATATGTTATTTTGGTGTTTTATGTACATTTACTGTAACGTTTCTTTGTTATTATATTATATAAATATAATTAGTGTGGATTGTACAAGTTTAAATAAACTGTGAATATCAATAATCATTGTATATACAATCAAATTAACTTGTAAATATCTATGCATTAATAATTTTATGAAAATCTTAGTTTCATAGTAAATACAAAACAATCATAAATACATTTAATGCAGTCAGTTCTAAGCCTGACTAAAGTATGAAGGGAAGTTAATTTATTGATTTAACTGTATAGCTAGAAACACTTAGATAGTGATTAAATTTATTTACGTTTCGTGTGTAACTGTATAGTTCTTGGTGGTATTTATGCAAATAATCACAGTAGCCAAATAAAAATAGCCAGTTACAAAAATCACTAGTTTTGAAACAGGTGACGCCGACCAAGTCACTGGTTTCGTTACGTTTCTTGAAAATGACGTAACGACCCACGTCTAGTACTGGGAGCATACGGCGGGGTGTGAAGTAACAGTCGGTCTCGGTGCACACCCGCCCGCTACCTCAGCCCCCCATTCCTCGGAGCTCGCGTGTGGACTGTAGATGTCTTTTATTCGGTCATTCAATAAATGGACCTGAACAAGTAAAGTATGTTTCAATCAC